CCGCAGCATGCGCGTGCTTGACAAAGTATAAATTAGCCTTGACCTCCTGAGACCCAAAGAAATTTTTTTCTTACATCCTTTGGGTTAAAAAAAAAATCTACAATTCAGTTTTTACATTTTGTTTTTATTTTTAATTTTACAGCATGTCCACTGTAGTGGATCACAGGACCATTTTAGTTCGAAACGACCACCAAACTCTTGACAACAAAACTGTACAGGATATGGCTGTAAAGGAGTATTAATCCATATTAATGTAACAAAAACTAAACAAAAGCCTTTTTTTTCTTTTTAAATTGAAATTCCTGAAACAGTTTAGTCTAAAAGAGAGCTGAACTAAAAAAATAAAAATAAAATAAAAATAAGTGATGCTTTAGTTTTGCCTCCTATAACATGCAGTCATTAATTACATTAAAACAGTTCTGGTGTCCACTATAGTGGACATTTAAAAAAGGATTGATTTTTGAAACACAAACAAGTTAACAGCTTTGAAAGCTAAATGTGTTGTTCCTGACACTTTAATAAACAAATATAAATGTAACAATAATAGTAAAAAACATTTAAAAAGCTTAATTTTACATACCTCTCCACTTCCCATAAAATGTGCTTGTTTGTATGTCAGCCATTTTAGATGCAGTGTAAGAAGTGGTTCCTAGCATGCCAGCTTGACTGATTAGCTCAAAAAATTCAAAGGAAATTCATGAAAACACAATGTCCACTGAAGAGGACATTAGTCAATGGGCAGGGTCTCAGGATGTTAAGGCTTCAATGTTCTGCTTGACCAAATATCAGAAGTATTTGCTTGTGTGTTCATAGATTTGTTTTGTCATGTATAGATCATAGACCTCTTTGTGACGCTGCTGTGAAACAGGCCGTTCCCATATCGCTTCTTTTGCGCACAGCTGCGCAAGTTCATTTTTTCCAATGGAGGCGGGTGGATTGCAAGCACAAATTAAGAGTGGCAAGCACGCATGCCAAGTACACCCAGCTGAAAAATATCTTTTCAGACAAACCTCGAGTTTTATTTTTCAGAATGCTGCAACATGAGTCACGTAACAAGCACTGACTGACCAGCTTCATTCTTTGTATGGAATATACACATTTCAGTTACCTCAGACAAACACAAGACACCTGGTGTCAAACAAAAACACCAAGTGCTTTTCAGTTCTCTCCATACATAACACTTGTATCAGAGCTGCAGCAATGTTTTGTTGGATTGTCATCCTCTGTGAAAACGGTTGATGGTCACTAAGCAATGACAAAGGAGCAACTACAAAGCACGTTGAAAATGCTGAGGGAAGTGCTGCGCTCACACTTTCCACACGCTTTTAGAAGCAATATATGGCTGACTTACAAATCACTTGATTCTGCCATATATCAGCCGCCCTGTATCTAAAGTAAGTTATCAGCCGCCCTGTATCACACAGATGTTGACTTTCTTGGCACCAAGTCCTCCTGTGCTGAACTCATCATCCCTGTGTACGCAGGCTATTCAGTCTCCTGTTCTCACTCTCCGTTTAGGTGTGCTGCGTTATGATTCAAATACCAATGCTGCAATGGTTCAAATACCATACAGCGGGAAAATCGTGCTGTAAGGCGATTTAGAAGTCGATTTCAATGAATCACATAGCCCTACTGTAGACAGTTGCTTACACACAGGTGCTAAACACATTCTTGGCAGATCCCTGTAGTTCTTGTGCAGCTTTTTGGCTCACATTCAGATAACATGAGACAACAAAATTGGCTGTTGTTGCCAATAATTAATTAATGTAAGCTTTGTCAATTAATGTTTAGATATTTTTGTGGTTGCCTTTTTGCTGAAGAGTAGAGCTTTGGTGCATATGTACTGCTTACATCCATACAGTATATCCCTTACTTTAAAGTTACATATAGATTTGATCAACAGAAGATTTGATCAACAGAATTGTGATGGGTTTGAGGAGCTTCTAAAAGTTAATACGTTTTGGAGGGATAGTCAGCACTAATTACTTATTGGGCAGTGGACATGTAGCACCGATGCACTTTCCTTTCTCCTTTCTCTCATATATTTCCCAATCCTCACTGACCTTTCTCTTTTTTTAAAAAAAACTGAATTTATAGGATTAAAATCAACATTGGGAACATTCATAAAGCACCATTTACCTGCCCACAGGGGTTTGCCTTCAGCTTTTCACCTAAGGCAATAACACATCACGAAAACTGCACCTCATATCTCTGACATTTAGCTGACAGTTTTGTCCTTTACACCTAAAACGTATTTTAAAACCATTGTCATGTCAGCGTTCCCTTCAAGTACGTGGCAGCTATTTTCCTAGATCAGAACTTCACACTTAATGAATCATAAAGCAGATGGACACATTTAAAGGTCAAACCCATGACTGGTATCTGTAAACGATTCTTGTTTATTTTTTGGTTTATAAAGAGTGGCGGTCAGTGTTCATGGCTACATCAATGGCTTTGTCGATGCAGGCACTGAAGCCATTTCATTTGTGTGGCTTAACGCACTTACACCCTCTAAGGGGAGGCATTAGCATTAAATCAGAATGTGCTGGAGGTGATGAGAATTGAATTAGACCCAGTCAGACACCCATGTTGGACGTGCTGCACTGATGGGATGTGAAGCTGATGTGAGCGATTGATTTTAAATCTTCTGTAAGCATATGGATGTTGAGAGGGCATTAGGGGGAAGGCTAGTTTAAAGTGTTTGGAGACTGCAAATCCCACTCGCTCTCAACAGACGAAACAACAAACAAGATTCAAAGGCGTTCGCAATCTTTTCACAAATGTCTTCAAAATAAGTCCGATTTTATGATTCACATTTTCTGTTTGTTTGATATGAGGTGCTTTTACGCTGGAGAAATGTTTTCATGGTTCCTAGAACTATTGCTGAAAGTAAACCTCAGTAACCAGGAAAGATTTTAGTTGTTTGAATCTAGTTGTTTTGTTTGTTTGTTTGTTTTAGCACTGTATAGGGTATATTGCATTTTGTATGGGTTTTTATTATTTTTTGGAAAGTATTAATTATTTAATCCTTGTTTGATATGAGGAGCTTTCATACTGGAGGAACATTTTCATAGTTCCTAGAACTATTGCTGAAAGTACACATTTGGAACGTTTGCACCTCAGGAACCAGGAAAGATTTCAGTTGTTTGAATCTAGTTGTTGTTGTTTGTTTGTTTGTTGTTTTCTAGCGTTGTATAGGGTTCATATTATTTTTTGGCAGGTATTATTTATTTATTACTAGTTTGATATGAGGAGATTTTACACTGAAAGAATGTCTTTATAGTTCCTAGAACTATTGCCGAAAGTACCCATGTTTGAGAATGTTTTCACCTCAGGAACTAGGAAAGATTTTAGTTGTTTGAATCTAGTTGTTTTTGCTAGCATTTTAAAGGGTTGATAACATTTTGTGTGGGTTTTTTATAATGTTTTAGAAAGTATTAACTATTTATTACTTGTTTGATATAAAGAGCTTTCATAATGGATAAAATAATTTTATAGTTTCTAGAACTATTGCCGAAAGTACCCATGTTTGGGATTGTGTTCACCTCAGGATCTACTGTAGGAAAGATTTTAGTTGCTTGAATTTAGTTCTTGTTTTTGTCTCGTTTGTTTTTTTTTTTTGTTTTTTGTTTTTTTTTGCTAGCATTTTATAGGGTTGATAGCATTGTGTGACGGGGGTTTCATTGTGTTTTGGCAAGTATTAATCATTTAATAATTGTTTGATACAAGGAGCTTTTACACGGGATGAATATTTTTATAGTTCCTAGAACTATTGTCGAAAATACCCCTGTTTCTAAAATGTTTTTACCTCAGTAACTAGGAAGTATTTGTTGTTTGAAATAAATCTTGTTGTTTTTGTTTTTATATACAATATACAGTTGAAGTCAAAATTATTTTTTAAATTTGAATGTTTTTTTCTTTTTTAAATATTTCCCAAATGATGTTTAACAGAGCTAGGAAATTTTCACAGTATGTCTGATGTTTTTTTTTCTTCTGGAGAAAGTCTTGTATTGTTTTATTTCGGCTAGAATAAAAGCAGTTTTTATTTATTTATTTTTTTTTCGATAGTTTACAGAACAAAACATCGTTATACAATAACTTGCTTAATTACCTTAACCTGCCTAGTTAACTTAATTAACCTAGTTAAGCCTTTAAATGACACTTTAAGCTGTATAGAAGTGTCTTGGAAAAATATCTAGTAAAATATTATTTACTGTCATCATGGCAAAGATAAAATAAATCAGTTATTAGAAATTAGTTGTTAAAACTATTATGTTTAGAAATGTTTAAAAAAATCTGCATTGGGAAAAAATAAACAGGGGGGCTAATAATTCTGACTTCAACTGTATATATATATATATTTTTTAGCATTTATAGGGTTGCTAGCAACTTTGGGAGATTTTTATTCTGATTTGCCAAGTATTAATCATCAAACCCAGATAAAAAGATTGGATTATGCAATCGAAAAAGACGAAGTCGAAAAAAAAAACTATGAAATGGGAAAAAAAATAAATAAATGTTTATACACTCTACCAAAACTGTAATAGTCTAAGATAACATTGATATTACATGACTTGTTGCTGTCTTTCTTCTGCCTTTTTTATATGTTTATATACCTATACAACCAATATGGATTGGATTTTACAAAATTGGAGATATAAATCTCCAAAACAATTCAATACAGAATTTTTATTAATTTGTTTAATAATAAATCAGTGAATGTTTTCTCACTTATTCATCAAAGCACACAGATTATAGGAGTTTTTTTTTTTTTTCGTAATTAGTCAAATTCTTTACATTTTTTATTTTTCCAATTCATACAGCCAGTACATAGTAATTCAAGTAAAGCACGACAAGAGTGCTTCTCCGGCTCCCCTTTTTCACCCAGTCAGTTTCAATGGCCTCCTACATTTGCATCAAGTTGTAGTTTGCTGGTTAGCTTCAAATTACAGCGTTTGGCTTTGAGTTCTGGTTTTATACTGTGCCGTCTCTCATTACAGGTGCCATGGTCTTCTAGCCACACTGAATGGATGGCGACAGCAGCGCTGGATTGTGATTGGCTGGCCTGAAGCACCTCTGCTCAGTGGGTGTGGTGTGGCTGCGGTCAGTCACGGCCACTCTTGAAAACAAACCATCTATCCCCACTGCTGAGAGGAGCTGAAATCCTCCAGTCCAGAGGCCACAAAGCACAACGCAAACTCATGCCATGCTCGTTCGTTGCCAAATCAGAGGCACAAGGACACTCTTACACCAATATCTGCTCTTTGGAGACTCTTTTGCAATCCAACGAGGTCAAAAACATTCCAGTGAGAAAAAAAAAAAGAGACAACTAAAGCATGATTTGTTTTTGTTTTTTCCTTAGTGAAACTTCAACTGGCAGTACAGCATGTTCATGTTGCTTCCAAAAACGCCTTACGGATGCTGCGTTGTACGAAACATATGAAACATCTACAGTTATGCCGAACATCCCCATGGGAAAAAGTGCAAGTTTACTCGAGCAGGATGTTAAACGCCTGTGGTACTTCTATTTAAGTATCTGTGAAATGGACTTTAACCTGGAACTTGTGTATAGATTCAACAGCACAATGTGTTATCAAGGACTTCCTCTCCTTTTAAAGATTTCTTGAAGGTTTGATAAATGCGTTTAATTTATATGAAAGCAAAATGGTAAAGAACAAAAAATTGCACAGGAGACGATGAGGGTGTTGATATTTGTTACTGTTTTCCCCCTGCATCTGAATGCTGGATTCTATTTAAAAGGAATATTTTGGGAGGGCTGAATACAGGTTAAGCTCTGTCAGCAGGATTTTTAGGGTGATGTTAATGATTATAAACTATTCCCTTTAGACATAAAAAATTGAGGCACTTAACATTTATTAATGAGTGGAATGGAGAACAACAAAGCCAGTAGTTACATTTTTAAAGTAAGTAAACCCCTTGCCTTAAAAGCAATAAGTTGAATTTAATTTAAAAGGTGAGTAAATCTATTGTAACTTGAAATGGTTACTTAATTTTTTAATTTTGCACATCGTTTGTTTACTTAATCATTTTAAGGCAACGAGTTTACCAATGTCAATTTAGTTACGTCAAATAATCACTTTAAAAAACAATGGGTTTACTAATTTTATAAGTAAAGCAAACTTAATAGCTTTTTACAGTGAATACGTCAAAAAGTGTTATTCACAGTTGATTTCTTTTAATTTTATTTTAAATATTTAAAATTCCTTCAAAATGAGTAATATTTTACTCTATGAAATGAAATATGTATATATTTAAAAGGCATGTTTCTAATAAGTACGTTTAAGAGTATTTAGAATTTTCATCAGTGCACTTTATACATGAAAAAACACAACACACAACTGTCGCCAAGTTGTTTACTGCAGATCTTGTTTAACTTCACTGGAGAATCTTAAAGAAACTAGTAATGACTTCCGCGTTGACCATTCCTGGACCACTATTGAAATTGAGTATTTTATAGTCAAAAGATGCAGTGCTCAACATATATGAGTACACCCCTTACAAATCTATCTTTTAAATTAATATTTTTAATAGGAAGCTATACATTATTTTATATTTGTGTATGTACATTAAATTAGTCAGCACTGGATATGATACTTAATATGTTTGGTGACTAAAATATTATTTGAATAAATGCATATGTTTAATAATCTGTTTTGTTTAAATGCACCAAAATACATTGCCTATATTCACTAAAAAAAAGTATGAAAATATTCATTTTCAAAATGGGGTGTACTCACTGTATAGCCAATATGTGCTATTATTTAAAAAAAAAATGTTTTAATTAAATCTTGTTGGCAAGATAGCCCATTAGTTTGTGCACCGACGTATAGCATAACATCCCTCCAGGTGTCCTGAGTTTGATTCCTGGATTCCTTTGATTCCAGAAAACTTTACTAAGGTAGAGGTGATTGGGCTGGATATTTTGATTAGCTAAATAGTCTTTACCTAAGCCAAATCGAATGATTATCTACTAACTTCATTAGTAAGCATCATTTATTGCAGTGTTTCTCAACCAAGTTCGTGGAGGAGCACCAGCTCTGCACATTTTTTTTTCTCCATGTCTCCTTAACCATACACACCAGATTCAGATAATCCGTTCCAGGGTTTCTACAGGCTTCAAGTCAAATTTAAGACTTTTTAAGACCATAATGAATGAAATTTCAAACTTACACAAGGCTAAACCCTAAAGATTTTTTAAATGGTTAAGTTAAAACCATACAAATACATTAAAAACAAATGTTATTGTAAGGAATAATAATTAATAACAATATATAATAATTAAATTATAATTAAATAATAATTACACCATATTAATAAGTAAACAGAGTCATTAAATAAATGTTTCTTAACTTTTATTGAAATATATTGTTAGTGATCGTATGGGTGTTGGCCCAATTGGGTATAGCTTTACATGGACATAGGCAAATTAAGACCTGTTTAAAATGATTTAAGACCTACAACACAATATTTCACAATATCACTTTTTAAGGCCTAAATGTAAAACTTTTTAAGAACCTGCAGACACCCTGAGTTTATTAGCAGAAACTGAAAAACCTGTCATGAGTGTCAAAGACTAAGGAGACATCCAAAACATGCAGGGATGGTGGTCCTCCAGGAACGTGGTTGAGAAACACTGATTTATGGTGTTAAAGACATTACTCTGTGATTTCATAACACTGTTTTGTATTAATTAAATTTGTAAGAATTTTAAAAAATGCAGTTATCTAAATTGTAATGCAGTAATCCCTTTGTAAACTACAACAATTTGTGAATTTAGTGATGCACAATTGTGTAACCTGTCAGTGTGTGTGTATATATATATATATATATATATATATATATATATATTCAACGTCACACCACCAACCTATGGTCTGGCATGCATTTTTAGTCATTGTACCAACAGACCATTTTATCAATATTGCTGTCGATCTGTTTGCAAAACTGCATTGTCTTTAGCACATTGTTGCCATGTAAAATGTTTGCACAAGTGGGCGGTGTGCCAACAAATATCGCTACTACTTTTTAAGGGTGACCCAAGTTTGAATCCTGGCTCATTGACCCTTCCCAATCCCATCACCCCCTTTATCTCTCTCCAACTTTGTTTCCCGTCTAGCTCCAGCAAACAATTTTGTTTAATAGACGTCTAATAGACATCTTTTAGTACTGTCCTGTCAGAAAAAGACAAAAAAAAAAATATAATAATTATATTTTAAAAGTTTTCCACTACAGAATAACTAGATGTTCTTCACTTGTACAGTGACATGTTGGAAATCAAATATGAAACAGGCGTGGAATATTTTGGAACCATTAAATGAAAAAAAAAAAAAAAAAAAAGGGAAAAATGTGTGGTTTTAGGCAAAAAAAAGTGATACTTTTTCTATTTTAGCATAAAATGGTTCCAAAAATATTCACATGTGATTTTTTTAACATTTGAAGCTCAAGTGATGATGATAGTATTTTAACAGGGGGAAAGAATGTGTATTGATACAATAGACATAAATCTAAATGTTCCCCCATCAACTCCCATTTTCAAAATCTCAGCATAGGCTCTATTATTACTTGCTTTTAAATAATAGAACGGATGAGTCTACATCATTTGGTTTGTGGTTGATTGAGCTTAACTTGTATTTAATGCCTTTAAGAACAAGTACAATTCTGATTGAAGTTGAAGGTTGCTTTTCTTGCTCACTTATACAGTCTTAAAACTCTTAAAAGGGATATGATTTGAGTTTTGTTTTTTGGGGGAAGGATCGAGTTTGTCTTCTGTATTAAATGACTCACTGCTAAACATTTCCATTTGAAGGGGACTTTGTGGGATTATGCAGCAGATCCCACTGGCGTCCTTGTGAACTGAATTCCTGGTGCCTAATACTGGTAGATGTGTTTGTTGCTCGTTCACTCCGTTGAAGGGTTTGAATAAATGATTTTTTGATGCCTGCAGACTGGTTTCATAAGCACCCTGGGGGTTTGAAAAAGCGCCTGGATTTCTCTCTGAAAACTCCTCAGTGAAACATCCAAGGTTTCTTTTTCTTCTTTCTTTGACGTAACAGGAACAAGCTTTACGTTATTAGCTAAATCTTATAATGCTCAAGCTAAATCCGCATGGATTTTACTTTTTAAATGCCTCCAGAATTAGAAACGTTATCCAATGCATGAAATTTCCTGCTCTTGCAGATAGAATATTCTGTGTGTATTGTCACACACTTTGTTGCTGCATAAAGGAATATTCAGATACTTTTTTTTAATATTCATTCATTTTCCTCTGACATAAATTTTAGAATTTCACACTTAGGTGATGATTGATTATAGATGTTTGGCATGTTGGAGAGAGCCCAGAAATGAAAAGATCCCCGAGTCCTGGGCTTCCTCCCGTTACATTTACATTTAGTCATTTAGCAGACGCTTTTATCCAAAGCGACTTACCAATGAGGACAAGGAAGCAATTTACACAACTATAAGAGCAACAATGAATAAGTGCTATAGGCAAGTTTCAGGTCTGTAAAGTCTAAGCAGGAAAGTATTAGTAATTTTTTTTTTTGGGGGCTACAGTTAGTGGTATATCCAGAGAGGCAATTGCAGATTAGGAAGTGAAGTGGAGACTAAATAGTTGAGTTTTTAGTCGTTTCTTGAAAATAGCAAATGACTCTGCCGTTCTGATGCAGTTAGGGAGTTCATTCCACCAATTGGGCAGGCCCGTTAGCAGGGCGAGAGGGGAGTTTGAGCTCGGATAACCTTTTCCACACTTTTTTTTGTTAGTCTTATTCCAAAATAGATTAAATTTATTTATTTCTTCGACATTCTACACGCAATACCCCATAATGACAATGTAAAAAATAAATATATATATTGAAATTGTTACAAATTTATTACAAATCAAAAACCTGAAACGTCACATGTACATAAGCATTCACTACCTTTGCTCATTACTTTGTTGATGCACATATAGCAAGTAAAGCTTGGCACACCGGAATTTTTGCCCATTTCTCTTTGCAGTACCACTCAAGCTCTATCAGGTTGGATGGGAAGTGACGATGTACAGCCATTTTCAGATCTCTCTGTTCAATAGGATTTAGGTCTGGGCTCTGGCTGGGCCACTCTAGAAAATTCCACAAGTTGTTGTGAAGCCTTCCATTTATATTTTGGCGGTGTGCTTTGGGTCATTGTCCTGCTGGAAGATGAACCGTCACCCTAGTCTAAGGTCAAGAACACTGTAGCAGGTTTCATACAGGATGTCTGTACATTGCTGCATTCATATTTTCCTCTATCCTAAGTAGTCTTTCAGTTCCTACTGCTGAAAA